CGTTAATGGTCTTGTTTTGCTGGCTCTCGCTGACGATTCTTGACTCATCGGTTTGACTCAGTCTGGGTGCCGATTTGTTGAGGGTTGAGTCAGAGGGAGCCACCGTATATAGTCCTTTGGCTGTGCTGTTTTTGCGTCAGTGTTCGACAAGTTTGCCAAGTGTCTGGTTCCGGTTGTCCTCCCTTTTCAAAACTCCTTAAGTCGGAAGATGGTTTTCAGTCGTTATTCCCCCCTTCCCTTTTGGAATTTTCTCTCTGTCAGGGATGGCCAGTCCCGTCTAGGTTGAAAATTTTTTGCAAGTGAATTCAAAAGCGTTTTGATTACGAATTTGCGTGTTGTTCCGAGATCAAGTGACGATAGGTTTTTTGACTCCGCGTTTTAGCTTACTGAATTTGCGTTTTGGTAGGGAATCAAGAGTTGGTGCTTTTTATTAGCAACGTTTTGCTTTCGAATTTTCGTTTAGGTTTTCAATCTAAGAGTGCTTTTGATTTTGCGTTTTGCTTTCGAATTTTCGTTTAGGTTTTCAATCTAAGAGTGCTTTTGATTTTGCGTTTTGCTTTCGAATTTTCGTTTAGGTTTTCAATCTAAGAGTTTGGTGCAGTTTTGTCACTGGGACATGCAGGTCCGCATAAGCAGTTTTGCGGGGACTTGCCGGTCCTCTTTTCTTGCAGTTTACGGGGACTTGCAGGTCCGCTCTTGCCAGTATTTCATTGTGTATAATAGCTAGCTGAAGCTGCGCAGCCTTAAGCTAGTCTATTTGCCATAAATTGGCTGACTCTTTGGATAGGTAGTTTACGCGGACATACCAGGTCCACTTTCGGGATCACAGGTACAGGCCCTTTTTCCATTTTGGTTCGTTTTTTAGTGCCAATCTTAGTGATCCCTTTCGATTTCAATAGTTTCATCTTTGGATAGGTAGTTTACGCGGACATACCAGGTCCACTTTCGAGATCACAGGTACAGGCCTTTTTTCCAGTTTGGTTCGTTTTTTAGTGCCAATCTTAGTGATCCCTTTCGATTTCAATAGTTTCAGTGATTTTTTTCAAGATTCGATTGTGCAGTTTTGTCGGGACTTGCCGGTCCTTCTTTTTAGAATTTTTAGAAGAGTTAACGTTTTTTAGTGCCAATCTTAGTGATCCGTTTCGATTTCAAGAGTTTCAGTGAATTTTTTTTTTTTTTTTTAAGATTCGATTGTGCAGTTTTGTCGGGACTTGCCGGTCCTTCTTTTTAGAATTTTTAGAAGAGTTACTTCGCATGCGCAGTTTTGTCGGGACTTGCCGGTCCTTCCTTTTTTGCCGATTTGGCCAACAATTCTTGTTTCGCTTGGTTCGTTTCGATTTTAATGCTTAGTCTCTTTTTTTGGATTGGATAATTTTCAGGAGATTTTCACGTTAACTTCTCGATATCAGTGTGTCTCATCAGTGAGAAAATTTTATCAGCGTTGGATCAACGGACATGGCTTCATCTTCTTCCACCGCATTAGCTGACAACGAACATCAATTCGACGATCCTTTGGGTAAGTTTTACTATTGATTGATCACGGTATTAAGTCACAGAGTATTGCGTTGGAGAAAGAATAACCTTCCTATTCAAATGTTACAGTTATTGACGAGGATACTTCGGATTCCTGTACTTCGACT